CATAACATAATAATAATAATAATAATAATAATAATAATTATTATTATTATTATTATTATTATTATTATTATTATTATTCAATTTCAATTATTTAATGTATTATTCTGTCAACATCCATCTATCCAAACATTATATACTCTATAATGTTCTTAAAAATTTAAGTTTTGGTGAAATGTATTTGTTACATTTTAAAAGGTATTTGTGGAAATCCTTCATTAGTGATATCTCAAAAAAAGGGATGGAGGGAGGGAGGGATGGATGGATGGATGGATGGATGGATGGAACAAATCCCTAATAAATTAATAATAATGTGGTACTTAAAATCATTATCCAAGTCTAGTAATAGTAGTAGTAGAAGTAATAATAATAATTTTAATATATCAATTTTAATAATAATTTACAATATTATTATAAATATTATTTATTTATCACTTATTTCCTCTGCTAAATAAATAAATGTTTGTGTAATCGAGGGGAACCATGTAAACAAACAAACAAAATAAATACATAAATAAATAAATGTACCTAAAAAAAATACATTTGTTATTACTTTTTAATCACTTATATGCAAGACTTAATGTCAAACATTAATGCCTTGCTTTTTTTCTTCTTCTTCTTTCTTTCTTTCTTTCTTTTTAGTTTTGGAGGCAATTGGTCTCACACAACAATTAAGACTTATTCTAGCCAAGAACCACCCACTTAGGCAGGAAGAAGCCGCCTGATTGACATGTAAAACGACCAGTAGTTCAATCACGGTTTAATTTGTTGTAGGCGACTTTACGAGCAGATAAATCTGATTCTGTGTAGGTTTGGTCAGTGATATGCCATATGGAAACTGGCATCGAACTAGAGTAAGAACAATCCCCACCACCATATCAAACCCTACTCATGATAAAACAAGACAGAAAGCTTGCGAGAAAATAGTTTAGAAGCAGAAGATAAGTGTGTGTGGAGGAACAGAGCCCTTTCATGTGGCGATGTGTTGGGATGTGGACTTAAATCACACCAGCTAAAGCCGCTGGGATTCAGCAGCGTTGCCCCAGGGACCCGCTCCCCACATAAAGCCCCCTCAACCCCTCACTGTGTTTCAGGTGTGATACTGATGTTCAAGAGCTGCAGGGGAGCTTTAAGATCTTTGCCAAGCGCTGTCTACCTCTCCAAACTCTTCTGAACTGATGCATGTAGAAAGTGAACAGCTTTGATACGAGACAAACCCTGCAAGCCCACTGAAATGTGCAGAAAGCTCAGGAAATAGCTCAGACACATCGAGCCACACTTCCTCAACACATTCACCATGACAGCATTTACACTGCAGGTCTTCATGCCCAATTCCAAATGGTTGACTATAACCGATATCTGAATTTACACCATACACTTGGCAAACCCAAGGTACAGACCCGGAAACAGGGTTGCCAGGTCTTCTAAACAAAACCAGCCCAACTGCTAATGAAAACTAGCCTAGTCACATTTTTTTTGGCCCAGGGGAGGTGGGGAGATCGCTTTAACCCACAGCTTAAAAACCAACCCATTTCAATGGGAAAACAGCGATCGACTGGTAGATCGTTATCACTGTCACAGTTGATCCCACGGTTCACGATGGTCGAAATATAGGAAGAAAATATTAACATTGAATTGAGGGTGTGGGGTTATACTAATATATCACTGAAGAGAATAAGATTTACTAATTTACTAATATTTCTTCTTTTACCTCCGTATAAAGTAGTATTTATAAGCGCAGCTTTGCTGTGTTTACAGCGGCAACCAAGGAAACACACTATTGTGGCTGTTCCATAAGCGCCACCTGCTGGCAGAGAGTGAATTAGTGTCTCAGGCCCCATTTACACTAGTGCATTTTCATTTTAAAATGCATAACTTTTGCTACGGTTACGCCTGTCATTTACACAACTCCTGCGTTTTCGACCTTTAAAAACGGAGACTATTGAAAACACTGCAGACCCCATTTTAGTTTTAAAACTCTGGGGTTGCGTTTCAGTGTAAACGGAGCAAAACGGCGACTTTCGAAAACGATGGTGTGGCTGATCCCACATTCACTCGACGTATCCTTGACGGCCGTGTAAACAATAACATCATGCTCAATGTTGTACCCATAGATATGTATAGGTAGATTCCCCATTCGACAACTCCAAGCATGTAGACACTTCTATGGTAGATACGTCCACCGCCATCTAAATAATAGGGAATCTACCTATACATTTATGATTGTACCTGCATGAATGGACATGTGTTTTCGGGTTGTGTAGTGTAGACGGAGATCGTTTCTGAAATGCAGTGAAAATGCCAGTGTAGATGAGGATCGTTTTCATTTTAAAATGCCGTTTTAAAACGAAAACGCACTAGTGTGAACAGGGCCTCAATCACTGATCTACATACAATGATTATATTATAGATCAGTGGCCTCAATCAGTCCGTTGTTTCATGAAGATATTTTATATAGCATAATTTCACAAAGCTAAAGTCAGACCGCTCTGTTTTTGCTTTAAATCCTGAAATTATACACAATTTCAAATGTCATCAGATGTTTTTGTTTAAGGCCAGTTTGCTTGTTATGGAGCAAATAACCAATAAATAAATTTGCTTAAAAAATGAAAAACATCAACCAGTATCAGTATCGGCCAATATGCTAGATTTTTTTAAATAAACATAAACAAACAAATAAATTAATAAATTAATGAATGGATGAATAGATTAATGGATGAATGGATCTGAGCTAGTTTCTATGTTAGATTGATAAATGAGGCCCAGTATGTGTCACTTACTATCTTTTTCTATGTACAACTATGTCCAATTTTACTTGCCAGGAAGAAATAATGCTTAAAATCCTAAAATGACTGTGAAAATGATGAGAAGAACATAACAGCTCTAATAATTTATGAATTATAAAATGCTTGTATAAGCTTCACAATTGTGTTTTTAAATCCTCCAAAAATTGGCCCCATTGGCTACCATTGTAACCACCTCACCATAACATACATTCATACATTTTAAGAAAATTAGGGATGTGAAAAATTACTTACATTTACATACTTTTTGTGGTAAATCAACATTATGCCATATATTCAGTTGACTAAGCTTGTATCGGACCTGGAATATACTTTTTTAAGTCACAACTAAAATGTTTAAATGTCACTTAATTAAATACAGAATATGAAGCCACATCTGCCACAGAGTCTTATTGAAGCGTAACACTAGATTGGAGTCTATGGGAATATTGATGATAAAGAAACAGATAATAACACTGATACACTGACAAACATGACTCTATAGGCCTCTTATACAGTACATTACTCTCTTATACACAGCAACAGCTCTGTCCTTTAGCTCTCCGGCCGTTGCTACTTCCTGGCAGTGTTGTAATGTTTCACGGACTGTGAGAGTAACAATTAAATAATGCTAATGCATTGCTTTTGCCCTCCAAACACTGCTGCCTCTCGCTGGGTTTTAGGATTGTGCTGCAGTGGCCTATAATGCTGTGAAAAATGGCTTTCCATCACAAGTTAATCTAAACATAGAGGCTTACATAAGACAGAGCAGCACTTGAAGATCTTTTGCCGCAAAGCCAAGGACTTACTGCTATTCGAAAAGAGAATAAGGACATTATTCAAACAAATCAGCAATGGAAATCATGCAAATGTATTCATGTTTGCATTTGCACGTTGAGCACTAAGATTAATAGACACAGAAGTATCTGCTTTCTTTTTGAAGCAAAGCATGAAAACAAGAGAATGTATTATGGTGCATCTGATGATGATTCATGGCATTTGGCTTTTTGTGTTGCATGCAGCCGAGTCAGTTTGTGAAAAGAGCACAGTTTGTGCCTGCTACATTTAAAGAAGCACACAAAACAAAGCAAATGTCTGCAAATTGAATATCTAAATTATTAACTTAGGCTGTCAAATGAATTACATAATTTGTCAATTAATCATTGCATAAATATTTGCTGAGGGGTGGGGGGGGGATATATGTAGGTGCTAACCATTTATCAGAGGCATGATTAATGGTGTTTAATGCTTTTTTTAATGCTTTTTTTATTAATATAATTATTTGAAACAATCATTACATCTGAAACAACAAACAAATATTTTTATAGGATTATGTGCATATACCAGCCATAGCTTCATTTAAAAATTAATACTAAAAATGCTTTTTTTTTTTTAAAGTAGATTTTTAGATACTTCAAATTTGAAACACAATTTAAATTTGTTGAAATTTGTCGCTTTGATTTTCTCACAGATTTAGTATAAAACATGGCTTGGAAAAAAATGCATATGTTTTATATAGAATCTGAAATTAGTACTTTATTCTTGTTGTTGTTGTTATGAAAACATTATTTTTCAAGACAATGAACACTTTGAAAACGTTTTTTTCTATTTCACATTGATTTGAAATAATCAGCAATAATCTGCCAAATGTTTTCTTTAAAAAGAGATTGTGTGTTATATATTATGTGTATATATAATATCCAACTCTTTTACCAAATAACTCACTTTTTAATCAACTATTTATTTATTTAACCTTATTTTTTGATTATAGATCAACTGCAGCCATTTTAGTTCACCTAGGTGCATTGCAAGTATAAAATACACCATAAATGAAATTATTTATTTAGCTTAAAAATGGAAAGACATTATTTCTTAGACTTAGACTCATGACCATTACTCAGAAGGAATCTGTCAGGAATTTTCAGGTCATTTTGGACACAAGACAGCAAAACTTTCAGCCAATCCCAGAGGCCTGTTCCCGGAGAGAAGCTCTTGTGCAGCGCTGTATGGTAAACATCTGGAGATACGGCCCTAAAGCGAAGGTCAGGCCAAACTTAACAAAGAGCAAACCGTTGCTGAGCAACAGCAGGGAGCGACAGCGCTGCTCTTCAGAGTGCTGTTCCACAGCAAACACAGACAGACTGAAAATCCTACCTGCTCTCGCTTTACCTCAGTGTAATACCCCAGTCGCTACGGTAAACCTGAAAAGGATACGACCAGGCACGACCGGCTTTCGGTTGACTAGTGCGAAGGACAACTCCGTCTTCAAAAACACAGCCGAGGACTTTATGATGTGCTGCCCAAAGCGAAACGTAGCCATAGTGGACATCAATTCCTGTGAGAGATAGAGACAGAGCTTTAACCATCAATGACAAATAAGAGTGTTCACAATAAAGACAAGGAAAAAACTTTGTATTCATTTATTATTACTTACATATATACATACTTATGTATGTATGTATTTAAAAGCTGCAAATGTCAAATTATCTAATATTTTAAGAGACTTAAATATATTATTATATTATTATAAGGTGTTATATAATAATGATACATATTATAAATGTATATTTTAAGATGTTTTTAACAAATATTACAATCAAAAATACCATAAGGATTTTGAACAACATTTTACAAAATTGTAAAACCTGAAAAGTCATAAAAATGTCATGAAAAAATATGTAATATTTTAAGAGACTTAAAGATTATTATTATTATTGTCTTTTGATTTTGTTAGATTTAATTTAATTACATTCAAGTAACAAAAAAATAAAAATAGAGAATAGAGAACTTTAAATATTATAGTATATATTTTTTTAGGTGACCAAATTTATAAATTGTACAATATTGATACATATAAATTATAATTAAATTAATATAAAATAAATGATAAATAATAGTTAGCTCAATAAATATTTTGAAAGTTTTTTTTTCAGTAAATTACACAAACAATCGCATCCATCCATCCATCAAATCAAATCAAATCAAATCAAATCAAATCAAATCAAATCTGAAAACCTTTCCCCCCCCTCATTTTTTACTCTATCTTTGATTTAGTTACGACTGCAGGAAAAACAGCGTTTAGGTGTATTTTACTAACATTTAAACTCATTGTGTACGTATGAATTGTTTATGTAATGTATTTTTGAATAATTTAACAGATCCAGACAAATAAATGATCATTATGTTAATGACCCAACAGTTAAGTTTACCTTAGCAAGCTAATATGATCAAACATCCTGTTAATTGAAGTTTTTCTCTATGCTTTAAATTGTCTGAGACAGCATTTATCCATTATATAATATTTCTTCTCTCCTTTCAGTGCAGATGAAAGCATCTCATATAGCAGACCTAAAGTAAACAAATTGATGGCGAGCTATTTTAAAACGGTCTCAATGGGAGATGTCAATGATAAAAACGAATATCTGAAACAGCAAGAGTTCAAACAAATAACAATCCATAAAGCAAAAATCTTGTCACACTGGGAGGGCTTTTCAATGCCCACCATTACAAACAAGCATCGACCAAGATCAGTGTCCTCTTGCTAAATTTAAACATCTTCTCCAGGGAATTTCAGTCTGCATTGATCAGCTAAAAATATATGAATGCAGTGGCATTACCCATCCCAAGTGGAATAAAAGTAACAGTTTGCCCTAACAAAATGACAAATCTGTCATCATTTGCTCACCCTCATGTCCTTCCAAATTTATTTGATTTTCTTTCTTCCATTGATAATGACAGAACTGTCATTTTTAGCTGAACTATTGCATGATGAGTGCATGATTTGTCCTATTTACTAAGCGAAACAAATGTCAAGCAATCAGTTCTGCATTCAACATGATAAAGAGAGAAAACAACAGCCATGAATGTTCCTTAGAAATGTAATTACATGTAATAACCAAAGGGAGTTGGGTTTTTATATGTGCATGAATTATTATAATGGGGTTATATTAAGTCTATGCGGACACAGGAGGAGGAAGAAGAGCCGGACAAGGGTGAAGATAATGAGGAAGATTCACACCTCACAGATACACACACAGGCATAGGTGCACTCAAAATGACCCCACACACACGCACACAGACACACACGTGTGCACATGCATGCATGAAGAATTATTCATACACAGGCATACACAGAAAACCGATTTTCTTTTCCCTCTAAACACACACACACTCACACAGAAACACATATAATTTGGGAAAACATGGCGAACAGGACCCATACTGTGCATTGCATTGGACCGTGTCCCAGAGGACGAAATCCAAAAAAAGTATGAAAATGAAGAGAGAAAAAAAAAAAAAGGAAAGCGGAAAATGTGTGCATACCAGCTGTCTCGGGCCTCCTCAACAGATTCCAACAATTCTGCAATTAAGAATCACAATGCTGCGATTAGCATGCCACAGTTTGCAATGACCTAATTAATGTGCATCTCCCGTGTGCTTAACGACACGCGTTTGTCATTTTGTTCCACGTCAGGTATGGTAACACACACGTGCGTGGATTTAAGGGTGTTGGTGCATTTCAGCACTCAGCTGTGATCTGATATCAACATTTTCATCAAACGTGCTTGTGACTCGGCTCGCAGCAGTGACGGTCACGCATTATTCGCTGGGCTTGCGCTCGGCCTGCATTCATGCGGCGTTATTGCACCGGTTACGTGTTTAATCCTTATCTGTAACCTTGACTGCACAGATTGCTGCTCCAGCGTGTAATCAGTGAAATCCAGAAGCCTGCTCACCGCTACTGATACATCATTTACCGGCAGATACAATAATCCCTAAATTAATTCAAACACACACATACACAAACTCCAAGGTTCATCCAATGAAACTCAGCTGGAATATTTATTTCGAAATATATGGACATGGTAAACACTTATGAGAACGAATGGTTATGGTATTTGAAGTCATTTTGTTTTCCTCATATATTGAATTTTTCATTATTCTCATTAAGGCTGTGCAATTAATCAAACTTAAATCCATTAGTCCATGTAATTTTGGCTTTTTAAATAATTAGTAGGGTTATACTCTATAGAGATGCATACATATGGGCCAATGAAGAATGCAGAATGGGCTGTGCAGCAAAAGAAAAAAAAAATGAACGCAGCATAGTTTGGATTCAGGAGGACAGATGTCACAAACTCAAGCAGCCATGCGGTTACAGCACAAGCAATGTACTGCAAAACCAAGAAACCATATATCTGCTATATACAAACAGAAACAGCATGAGGATTTATATGACCAAAGCAGGACAGAGAATATTGATATCACTCCAATTCATTCTAACTAAACAAGTATAAACTGTTAGTTTCACATGCATAAATGTGCAATTATGTTATTATAATTTGCAGTTATCAAATATTAACCGTAGAAAACTTCTTAATAAAAAACAAACTCTTCAGATAAATTATAAGTTTGTAAATAGATAAATCTATTAACTTTTTATACATAACCTGTGTAGTTCCCTGTAATCATTTTTGATATTATTATAATTAATATAGTTATTTCTTTTTTTATGAAATTTCCATCTTGAACACAGACATCTGATAAGAATGCTAAATCATACAAGTAAAATAGTAATATGTATATACAGTGGTGTGAAAAAGTGTTGGCCCCCTTCCTGTTTTTTTTTATTTTTTGCATATTTGTCACACTTAAAAGATTCAGATCATCAAACAGATTTTAATATTACACAAAGATAATGCAAGTAAATACAAAATGCAGTTTTTAAATGATTATTTATTTTATTAAGGGAAAAAAGCTGTCCAAACCT